ATACATATTAATTTTGACATTAATATGAATATAATTAATTTGATAAAATTTAGATAAGATCTATTCGTCCTCATGATAAAAAGCGACAAAAGGAATTACAACAATTACTTGTTACTTGGCTCATAGCAGATTCACATCCTTTAATTATTGTTCAAAGTGAATTTTTTCATTGATTTATAAATGAGCTTGATCTGGTATTTCTAATTCCTGATGTTAAATTAATTAAGCAAATTATTCATCAAGCTTATAATTATTCAATTCTATTTTACGAGAATTTATTAAACATAATGCACTTAAAGTCTCACTTACAATGGATTTATGGACAGCCAAAAATCGGCAAGACTATATTGGAATTACATGCTCATACATTAATTGTCAATTTAAATTAAAAGAAATAACTCTTACAATCCAATATGTTCGTTATTCTCATATAGCTGATTATATCCGTAAGACAGTAGAAGAAATTATTAAATATTAGGATCTTTATGGAAAAGTATATTCTATAACTACTGATAGTGGTTCGAATATAAAAAAAGCTGTAATGAAAATGAATAAAGTCATGTGGCAACGTTGCAGTTCTCATACTTTACAATTAGTAATAGGAAAGGCATTATTACCAGTAGAATCTTTAATTGCCCATGCTAAACGTTTGATTGATTTTTTCTTACGTCCTAAACAGTCTGAACAATTAGAAGAAATTCAGAAAAAAAACCCAAATATGATACGTGTGGTAAATTCAGTACTATTATTTAATAATTAATTATTTATATCATTTTAATTTTTTTTAATATAATTAAAGAATGCAGGAGAAACTGCCAAATATTTAGTTAATTGTATTTCAGATTGTAGAACTTGGTGGAATAGTTCTTATTTAGCTTGAATTCGATTAGTTCAAATTAAGGTTTATATTGAGCTTTTAATCATTTATCTTACATCACATAATAATTCTGATAATCGTAAAGATGGAAAATGATTACGAGAAATCAACCTAACAAATTCAGAATGGAAATTAATTAAAGAACTTTTACAAGTTCTTGGACCATTCGAAGAAGTAAGTAAAAAGTTTAATGCATAGCTATTAAATTAATTTTATTAATCTAATATTAATTATTATAGGCAACC